GACCTCACTGGACTTCTGGTGCAACATCTTGCTTCTGATCGTTTCCAGAGCAACGATCAGATCAGTTCTGCATAACTCAAGCTGACATAAATACTTAAAGTAATATATTTTAATTTATTTAACATGAGATTAATGGATTTGTATATGATTTAATATTTGCATTTGGTCTTAAGCTATTTATCCACTATTATTTTTAATTATTAGTCATTTATCATGATTAGTCATGTATTATTTATTACACAGTGCTAGGAATAGTCTGTGACTTATTAAATATATATATATATATATATATATATATATATATATATATATATATATATATATATATATATATATATATATATTTATTTATTTATTTATTTATTCAAACATATTTTATATCGATACATGTTTATTTATTTATATAAAATATTTTATATTTTGTTTATATATGTGCGTGTGCGTGCGTATGTGTGTGTGTGTGTGGGTGTGTGTGTGTGAGTGTGTATGTGTGTGTGTGTGGGTGTGTGTGTGCGTGTGTGTGTGTGTGTGCGTGTGTGTGTGTGCGTATGTGTGTGTGTGTGTGTGTGGGTGTGCGTGTGTGTGCGTGTGTGTGCGTGCGTGCGTGTGTGTGTGTGTGTGTGTGTGTGTGTGGGTGTGTGTGTGTTAATACAATCAACTGCCAACAGAAATGCACTGACCTTCTAACAGAGTAAATGAAGAGAAAAGAAGAGGGCAGCAGACGCTCACCGTGTTGTGTTTGGAAAATGCTTGTTAATGGAATAGTTAGTGTCACACAAACCAGCACAGAGAGAAGCCTGGAAGAGAGAAAGACAAAGAAAAGTTGGGAAAAGGCGGAATACCTAAGAGATTAACTTATATCACAGAAACAGATCATCAGGACTTGATGGTTGGAATTTCATCTGTGATATTTTTTGCCATTTTTTACATGTCACAACCCCCAAATGTCTTGACCCTGATTATAACATCTAAACTATGCGCATACATCTTGTTAAAGTCCTGTAAAATCCAGAAGAACGTTTTCAAAAGCCTGGATACATAGAGTTATTTGTGTTTTAAGTTGTGATGAAAGAAGCTTTAAATGTCTATTGATTGGTGCTATTTTAAGTAATTAGTCTACCATAATAACGCTATCGCTAACAACAAAGCTAACCCATGTTATTCCTATGTGCTGGTATCTACTTGTAAATAATTTATTTAGCTTCTGTAAACCCAAATTCTTGCTGGAGTTGTATGTTAATGTAGAGTCATACTGCATTTCTACAATGTAGGACCATTTGCAGCAATTTACAGAAATATTTATATATATATATATATTACCTTAAATATGAATGCTTGCCTTTCTAAGTAAGTGTCCAATAAAACATCTGAAAATACCATTTAAACGATATGATCCTCTTGGCCGCTGCAAACTCTGGCATTGTTAGTTTCCACATTTCCTGTTTTTAGAAGATTGTTGATCCACTTCTCTCCTCAATTCTGTACGTTTTTTCAAAATTAATTCCCTTGTCACCAACAGCCTTCAAAACACAAAAATAACATTTATCTTTCTCTCTATTAGAACGGTAGAAACAATCGAACAGGACTCAGACTTTAGGCATTTTAATGATGGATCAACAGAAGTAAACAGGCTGCATTTACTTCCTGCCCTCCATCTGCATTACGTGACGTTGATACGACGTCATCTGCAACCCAACAATTGTCTCCAGAAACTTTCTTGCTCAGCTTTTTAAAGTTAGGACCGTTGGGTTTTGCAGCACCTTTTTGTCAACAGTGTTATGATAAAATAGACGGAGCAATAAGAGATAGTCCAGAACGTCTCCTGTGTTTTGACCACCCAAACACCATTTAATGGACTCTCAAAGTTTAGCCAACAACACAGATAACTGACAGGAAAGAGTAATTTGTGTTGCTGTGATAACCAACAGTAAAGGACACAAAGTGAATTATATTATAAGCCCAACAAAGGCCAAGTACACACACTCACACACACACTGACATGGTCTTTGTCTTGTTTCCACCGTCTTAACTCTCACATGTAATTAGCCTCACTCTCTCTGTCCGTCGCAGATACCGATAGCACACAGGAATGGGTCAGAGTGTGTGTGTGTGGGAAGGGCAGGGTGTCTCAAGGGACAGGTTATGACAAATAAGATTAATGTGTCGCCTATTTCCAGACTGGTTCACTGGCCTTACACACACACACACACACATACACACACGTCACATAAAACACATACATGCCTCCCTGATAGCTTTTTCTCTCAGGAGAGGGTCCATATGGGGACTGGAGCAGCGTAGGAGGGTGTGTGTGTTCATGTCTGTGCACCACACCAGGACGTCACCTCAGTGTCCTTTTCTTTGTTGTCATCTCAGCTGCTCCGTGTTTCAGGATGTAGATCAGAATCCTGTTCCTGCTCCATCGTGGCTTTGAAGAATTTGACACCTTTCTGTCTTAATTGACACTTTTCCTCTTCAATCAAAGACATATCGTCTTTAATACGTCACATGTGGAGGCCAGATAGAGGTCACATGTCCTCATTTTCAAACAAAAGTTAAAAAACAGTCAATAAGACATTGTTCTGGTCTTACACAGAAAAAATGATTTAACCATTTTTTCTTTCATCGTGGTGCTGATGTTGGGGCGGGGGGGAGGTTATCCCAAAGATAAGACTGGAAACCAAGAACTCGGACGACCAGTTAGAGAAACTGACTGGCTGTCAAGCCAATGGGAAAGTGAATGAGTGACAAATGGGGGAAACTGGTGAAAACCAAAGCAAATAAACTGTGAGGCGCTCACCTAGAAACGCAGAAGTAAAACGAGACACAAAAGGGATTTTTTTAACCTAAAACTTTCCAGTATATGAGAACAACTTAAAAAATACAGTCAAAGCTACAATAAAATGGCTTTCCATCCAATTTAACTGAGTTTGATCTGTAGACGAATGTAAAAAATGTATCTCACCTTTATATGTAGCAAAAGATGCAATAGGTTTGAATATGAACACATTTCAGAATCCAGATATTCGTAAGTAGTTTTGAAGACTGCACATTGTTTTCCACTCTGATGGACAAAAACTTGTTCTTAGTTTGTGTGTTTAAGGTTGCAAAGTGAGCACTGGACCTTTCTTCTGCACTAAAACAATTAAAATTAAATAAACATTGCATGCAGTGGCACAGTTGACTCCAGAGATGGAGTGTTAAGCTTTAAAACCCTTTTTCTTGCAGACACATTTTAAATTGCCAGCCACACGACTCTCGCTGCCTACAGACTGCTGGGGAATTATTTAAACTGCTGGCAGATGTAGATGTATGGGACGCCAGCAAAGTGCCTCTTGGTTATTGAAACATTAGACTCAGCGTGAGGCTAATAGAGGAGGAATCTGGGCTGAGCTGTTGATTTGTTTAAGCATTTCTCCCGCTGAAAAATCTGCTGCTAAAGTTTTTTCAGTGTTTCTCCACACAGAAACAGATTCCCGGCGAGTTTCAGAGCCGCATTAACGTTTCCATTTGCAGCCATTCAGTGAAGATGAGCGCCATCGTTCATCAGTATTGTGATCCGCCTCGTGTCAAATGCTGCAATCCGCTGTAACAGTTTGAGGGGAAAAACTCGCATGCAAGATTTTCTTTCTGTGAAAGAAATGAACACCAGGTTCTCCGGACACAATGTGTTAAAATGGATCCAAACTGCGGCGTACACTGAAAAAAATAAGTCATTGGATGAACATAAAAAATTATGGAAAGGATTTCCACCTGATTACTTTGCTTTATTTCAGCACCATGTACTTGTGTTACTCTTATTTAAAGCAAATGTGTTAGGTCAACCTAATTTATTAAGATTATTCCAAGGTAAAGCAAATGTGTTGGCTCAACTTGTTACAATGGTGATTCAATGGTGATTCTAAATCAAACATGTTGGCTCAACGTAATATATTGTGGTTATTCTTATATAAATTAAATGAGTTGGCAAAAACATAATTCATTATGGTTCTTCTAATTTAAACCAAATGTGTTGGCTTAACCAGAATTATGGTAATGCAATGGATGATTGTAAATCAAATGAGTTGGCTCTATTCCATTCATTAGGTTATTCAAATTCAAATGAAATGTGTTGACTCAACATATGTTTTAAAGGTTCCTTTAACTCAGTTACTATAGCGTGACCCAGTGTAATGCAATACAGCCAGTCCAACTAATCTGCAATGTTTAGGACCAAATCATTGATGTAACTTCATTAAGATGAATGTAAATCTAGTTGAAACCACCTTATTTTACAGTGGTACCTTCACACTACCTGATTCAGTAGGTACAACTCACTAAAAGTAAGTTAGCTCAACAAATATGCTTCATGCTAAAAGACAGCTAGTTAATCGTGTGGAAATCCTTTCCATTATTTCATGATGTTAGTTCAAAGACATTTTTTCAAGCGTTAATCAAGCATTTTAAGATAGCACTAGGTGAAAGTGTAGGAAGAACACTCAACAATTAGAAGGTACAACACAATTGTATTTTCAAAATTGTTATACATCGTTTTTTTACACAGCACAAAACAGCTGAGTTGGACATTGAAATAAAAAAACAACTACAAAAAGGTTACAGTTTCATTTCCCAGCCAATTCTTTACAACATAAAACATGTCATTATAGTTGCTCAACTTAGAGAACTGTAACAATATAAATCTTTTTTACTGCAGACTTTAAAAACTCATTTCCATATGAAACTTTTCAACTTAGCGGCAAGTTTCATATTGAGAACTTGTGCTTTCTTTGATAAGTTCTTTCCATCCAATTTCATTATTTCCTGTATTACTTCAAAGGTATGCTTGAGTTACTGAGCAAGTTGAGTGCTGAACGCACTAAACTTGAGGGTAGCTCAAGTTTAGTGCGTAGATTAGTCCCAGCAGCATCACTATTGCAGAAGATACACTGCCCAAGCTGTTCATAACTTCCACCTCCTCCAGGACAATCCCAACATCCAGATGTGCATCGGCAGCCTCTGCACCTCTGCTCAAATGACGATTCCGAGGACAGCCTCGGCTTTGGCCATTTCTGCACATTCATCAACGTCCTAAGGGAGTTAGGGAAGGGTATTGGGGGGGAGACAATTCACATGTAATTAAATAAATAAATAAATTAGACTGACATTGATTGAGTCACTCATGGACCTTAGTTGGTGAAAGTATTTTAACAACTCTTAGGACTTCTATTATAAACACAAAGAGAATTTAACATACCATGTACTCCCTCACCAGCTTCTCTGGATCTTCATTTAGGTACACACAGACCTTTGAGGATGCACTCTCATCTGACCTCAGCAGTGTCTTCCTAAATATGCAGATTAAAAAACAATGAGAACAATCTCAAAACTCCAGCAGTATAGGTTCACACACTTGAAAACATAGCTGCATTCAAAGGAAGTCACAACAAAAGTGATCAGTGACTTGCAGTCTGTTTGAAAGATATTTAAAATTGTTAGTATCCCTTCATTATGCCATGACTAAAATGGAGTTTAACATTTTATTTAAACATCTAACTGAAGCTGTTAGAGGTTTAATAAGACATGAATATATCACCAAAGAAATATGTGAAAAGTACAGAATGGTCAACACAGTCTATATCCTTCTACTTAAATGAATATGCAAAGCATTCCATGTCTTACAAGTACATGGACAGTCTATGTGTGGGCATGGGTAACATCGCATATGCGGTGTTTAAGTGTAAAATGTTTTAACAGGTCATATCTACGAGACAGAGAGAGACTACACTCCTTACATTCCACATCCCCACGCAAATAAAGACAAATAAAACAGACTGGCCAAATAAATGTTTAGCTGAACCCTAGCTTTATAAGCTCTCTAACACTACATTCAGTCACTTTAGATCTGGCAAAACTTACTATTAGCCACTGAAATCTATAACTTGATAGCCGATGAGCCCCTTGACCAGAACTTAAGCAGGTGGATTACAGATAGGTGATCAGGTGATGTTCTGAAAGAGATCAGATATATTTTCAGCCATTAAAATATGCAATTCATACTGAACTGAGTTGTATCTTTTAGTACAAGACCCTTGAATGCCTCATGAATATAACCACTGGACACATGCAAGCACATATGTGCAGAACAATGGTGAATTGAACATGGTAGAAAGCAATAGTAACAAAGGTCAAAATGAGCACAATCAACACAAAAACATCAACATTTCAAAATTAAACCAATGAACTTCAATATTGTTTCTGAGCTACAATTATTTGGGACAACAAAGAAGAGTCCAAAAAAAAACCAACATCTTTACAGCAGAGGAATATGTATTTTAAAGAAAAAAATAGAAAGCTCAAGTCTGTAATAATGGATAATCCATTGAGAGTTTTAGCCTGACAAAATATACTAGAAATCCATAACTAACAGGTATTTTAGGAACATTTAACAAAGCTCAGAAAGCAATGCTTTCTGCAGGTTTCACCGACTGAAATGTAGGACTTTTTATTACCATAATTAATTAAGAATCTCGATGATGATAGAAAGGTACCAAAGTGTGTATCTACGTTTACCTCCATAGTAACATTACTGAAATAGAATTAAAATAGTTAGAAATAGACTGATGTTAGATCCGTGTGTTAAAAATCCACTAAACCTCCAGGGAGCTCAGGAGGAGCAAAACTGTGACATTTCTGGGGTCCATTTGTGTCTCTGGCAGCAGCTTTGTGACCCTTACACTACTATGGCTCTGCAGAGTTTTTTCGCACAGAATGTACCTAACATGGTGCGGCGATAAATGTAAACTTACCAATGATATCACATATAGCTAACTGCCTTAACCTAACCGACTTAATCTACAGAACATGAAATAATGTGACACAAGTATGGAACAAGTAGAAAATGGTGCAAATGTAGAGAAATTTTAAGTTACATATTTTTATATGGATTTAGATGAAAATAGTTTGACTCTTACCTTCTTCAAATTAAGCAGATGCACGCCAGGAATCTCCCCTCTGCCTTTGAAAAAACCCAACAAGGTGCAAGCCAGTTATCTCGCGTGATTTTCCGTAATCTCTTGATGTCGCTGGATCCTCTTCAGCGGAGATGAGTCTGACACAATAGCGCTTTGGAACTGACGTCACTGTGTTTTTTTTTATTAGATTAACTTTGACAAATATTAATATTGAATAAAAAATAAAAAAACATATATATATATATATATATATATATATATATATATATATATATATATATATTATATATATATATATATATATATATATATATATATATATATATATATATATATATCTTATATATATATCTTGGCACAACCAAGAGCTCGGTCCTCTGGTAGAGGACCCGAGCTCAGAGGATAAGAACCACCCGCGGTGGGTATATATATGTTAATTAGATGTATTCAAGTTGAGATAACGTCATTCAATCACATTAGTCCAGTTGAGAGAAAAAAACCGATTGTCTCGCGTGTTCTCGCGTGATATCCCGTGATCTCACTCGTTGTCGTCAGCACAATATCAGTCTGACTATAATGAATCGTGTTAGCTCAACATGATTCAATTTATAAATGTGAAGTCGTGGAATATCTTGTTTATCCAACATGATTTTATCACGTTTTCGCTTCAAACCCAAATTATTGAGTGAAAGATACATGATATTCTTTTGTTAATGTAATACGCCCCGACGTTCTTTTTTTTGGCGGAAGATCTAGCTGACGTAATTCAATCACGTTATCTCACCTTGAATACATTTTATTCCATTTGCGAGAGGAAACCGATTGTCTCGCGTATTCTCGCGTGATATCCCCTGATTTCCCGTAATCTTGCGTGAACTTGCGTGATATCCCGTGATCTCACTCGTGGTCTTCAGCATAGGATCGGTCTGACTATAATGAATCATGTTCTCTCAACATGATTCAATTTTATAAACGTTGAAGTTGTGGAATATCTTGTTTATGCAACATGATTGTATCATGTTTTTGGCTCAAACATGGAATTATTTAGTTAACAGTACATGATATTCTTTTGTTAATGTGATAACCCCTGAGGTTCCTTTTTTACAGTGTAAGGATTATGTAGTGCTCTTTGCGATGCTTGCATTTTAATGTCAAGCAGATGCGTCCTCCAGTAAGGTCTGTGTATTTGTGTAATTTTTATTGTTTGTTAAAAACACATTTGCACAAAAAAAAAAAAAAAGGTTGTTGAGTTAAAGCCGATGGTTGGAATTGCCGTGGCAAAACTTACTTCTGTTCAAAAATTTTAGTTAAATACTCAGCAGGAACAGTTCGATTTAGATGTAATTTATTTCACATACACTGTAAAAAGAAATTAGCTTCACCAGCTTAATTTAATTGCTTCAATTGAGCTTATACAAATCAATTCATGAAGTTTTTTTTTTATTTTAACTGAATGCATTAAGTTGGTTTAACTTGACACATTTAAGTCAGTCTTATTCAAATCATTTAGATTATTCTAAATAAAGAAGAAAACTAAGGAAGGATCTCCTTTTTTGCTGGATTTTTTAGGCTCTTGCAGCCTTTATTTGAGAGTTAGACAAGAAACTGAGTAATGACAGAGGGGGAGGACATGCAGCAAAGGTCATCAGGCCGGAATCGAACCAAGGACTCCAGAGTTGTGCTCTACCGCTGCACCACCACACTGTAAAAAAGGAACCTCAGGGGTTATCACATTAACAAAAGAATATCATGTACTGTTAACTAAATAATTCCATGTTTGAGCCAAAAACATGATACAATCATGTTGCATAAACAAGATATTCCACAACTTCAACGTTTATAAAATTGAATCATGTTGAGAGAACATGATTCATTATAGTCAGACCGATCCTATGCTGAAGACCACGAGTGAGATCACGGGATATCACGCAAGTTCACGCAAGATTACGGGAAATCAGGGGATATCACGCGAGAATACGCGAGACAATCGGTTTCCTCTCGCAAATGGAATAAAATGTATTCAAGGTGAGATAACGTGATTGAATTACGTCAGCTAGATCTTCCGCCAAAGAACGTCGGGGCGTATTACATTAACAAAAGAATATCATGTATCTTTCACTCAATAATGTTGGGTTTGAAGCGAAAACGTGATAAAATCATGTTGGATAAACAAGATATTCCACGACTTCACATTTATAAAATTGAATCATGTTGAGCTAACACGATTCATTATAGTCAGACTGATATTGTGCTGACGACAACGAGTGAGATCACGGGATATCACGCGAGAACACGCGAGACAATCGGTTTTTTTCTCTCAACTGGACTAATGTGATTGAATGACGTTATCTCAACTTGAATACATCTAATTAACATATATATACCACCGCGGGTGGTTCTTATCCTCTGAGCTCGGGTCCTCTACCAGAGGACCCGAGCTCTTGGTTGTGCCAAGATATATATATATAAGATATATATATATATATATATATATATATATATATATATATATATATATATATATATATATATATATATATATATATATATATATATGTTTTTTATTTTTTTATTCAATATTAATATTTGTCAAAGTTAATCTAATAAAAAAAAAACACAGTGACGTCAGTTCCAAAGCGCTATTGTGTCAGACTCATCTCCCGCTGAAGAGGATCCAGCGACATCAAGAGATTACGGAAAATCACGCGAGATAACTGGCTTGCACCTTGTTGGGTTTTTTCAAAGGCAGAGGGGAGATTCCTGGCGTGCATCTGCTTAATTTGAAGAAGGTAAGAGTCAAACTATTTTCATCTAAATCCATATAAAAATATGTAACTTAAAATTTCTCTACATTTGCATCATTTCTACTTGTTCCATACTTGTGTCACATTATTTCATGTTCTGTAGATTAAGTCGGTTAGGTTAAGGCAGTTAGCTATATGTGATATCATTGGTAAGTTTACATTTATCGCCGCACCATGTTAGGTACATTCTGTGCGAAAAAACTCTGCAGAGCCATATGTAGTGTAAGGGTCACAAAGCTGCTGCCAGAGACACAAATGGACCCCAGAAATGTCACAGTTTTGCTCCTCCTGAGCTCCCTGGAGGTTTAGTGGATTTTTAACACACGGATCTAACATCAGTCTATTTCTAACTATTTTAATTCTATTTCAGTAATGTTACTATGGAGGTAAACGTAGATACACACTTTGGTACCTTTCTATCATCATCGAGATTCTTAATTAATTATGGTAATAAAAAGTCCTACATTTCAGTCGGTGAAACCTGCAGAAAGCATTGCTTTCTGAGCTTTGTTAAATGTTCCTAAATACCTGTTAGTTATGGATTTCTAGTATATTTTGTCAGGCTAAAACTCTCAATGGATTATCCATTATTACAGACTTGAGCTTTCTATTTTTTTTCTTTAAAATACATATTCCTCTGCTGTAAAGATGTTGGTTTTTTTTTGGACTCTTCTTTGTTGTCCCCAAATAATTGTAGCTCAGAAACAATATTGAAGTTCATTGGTTTAATTTTGAAATGTTGATGTTTTTTGTGTTGATTGTGTCTTTGACCTTTGTTACTATTGCTTTCTACCATGTTCAATTCACCATTGTTCTGCACATATGTGCTTGCATGTGTCCAGTGGTTATATTCATGAGGCATTCAAGGGTCTTGTACTAAAAGATACAACTCAGTTCAGTATGAATTGCATATTTTAATGGCTGAAAATATATCTGATCTCTTTCAGAACATCACCTGATCACCTATCTGTAATCCACCTGCTTAAGTTCTGGTCAAGGGGCTCATCGGCTATCAAGTTATAGATTTCAGTGGCTAATAGTAAGTTTTGCCAGATCTAAAGTGACTGAATGTAGTGTTAGAGAGCTTATAAAGCTAGGGTTCAGCTAAACATTTATTTGGCCAGTCTGTTTTATTTGTCTTTATTTGCGTGGGGATGTGGAAATGTAAGGAGTGTAGTCTCTCTCTGTCTCGTAGATATGACCTGTTAAAACATTTTACACTTAAACACCGGCATATGCGATGTTACCCATGCCCACACATAGACTGTCCATGTACTTGTAAGACATGGAATGCTTTGCATATTCATTTAAGTAGAAGGATATAGACTGTGTTGACCATTCTGTACTTTTCACATATTTCTTTGGTGATATATTCATGTCTTTATTTAAACCTCTAACAGCTTCAGTTAGATGTTTAAATAAAATGTTAAAACTCCATTTTAGTCATGGCATAATGAAGGGATACTAACAATTTTAAATATCTTTCAAACAGACTGCAAGTCACTGATCACTTTTGTTGTGACTTCCTTTGAATGCAGCTATGTTTTCAAGTGTGAACCTATACTGCTGGAGTTTTGAGATTGTTCTCATTGTTTTTTAATCTGCATATTTAGGAAGACACTGCTGAGGTCAGATGAGAGTGCATCCTCAAAGGTCTGTGTGTACCTAAATGAAGATCCAGAGAAGCTGGTGAGGGAGTACATGGTATGTTAAATTCTCTTTGTGTTTATAATAGAAGTCCTAAGAGTTGTTAAAATACTTTCACCAACTAAGGTCCATGAGTGACTCAATCAATGTCAGTCTAATTTATTTATTTAATTACATGTGAATTGTCTCCCCCCCAATACCCTTCCCTAACTCCCTTAGGACGTTGATGAATGTGCAGAAATGGCCAAAGCCGAGGCTGTCCTCGGAATCGTCATTTGAGCAGAGGGTGCAGAGGCTGCCGATGCACATCTGGATGTTGGGATTGTCCTGGAGGAGGGAAGTTATGAACAGCTTGGGCAGTGTATCTTCTGCAATAGTGATGCTGCTGGGACTAATCTACGCACTAAACTTGAGCTACCTCAAGTTTAGTGCGTTCAGCACTCAACTTGCTCAGTAACTCAAGCATACCTTTGAAGTAATACAGGAAATAATGAAATTGGATGGAAAGAACTTATCAAAGAAAGCACAAGTTCTCAATATGAAACTTGCCGCTAAGTTGAGTAAAGTTTCATATGGAAAATGAGTGTTTAAAGTCTGCAGTAAAAAAGATTTATATTGTTACAGTTCTCTAAGTTGAGCAACTATACTGACATGTTTTATGTTGTAAAGAATTGGCTGGGAAATGAAACTGTAACCTTTTTGTAGTTGTTTTTTTTATTTCAATGTCCAACTCAGCTGTTTTGTGCTGTGTAAAAAAACGATGTATAACAATTTTGAAAATACAATTGTGTTGTACCTTTTCTAATTGTTGAGTGTTCTTCCTACACTTTCACCTAGTGCTATCTAAAATGCTTGATTAACGCTTGAAAAAATGTCTTTGAACTAACATCATGAAATAATGGAAAGGATTTCCACACGATTAACTAGCTGTCTTTTAGCATGAAGCATATTTGTTGAGCTAACTTACTTTTAGTGAGTTGTACCTACTGAATCAGGTAGTGTGAAGGTACCACTGTAAAATAAGGGTTTCAACTAGATTTACATTCATCTTAATGAAGTTACATCAATGATTTGGTCCTAAACATTGCAGATTAGTTGGACTGGCTGTATTGCATTACACTGGGTCACGCTATAGTAACTGAGTTAAAGGAACCTTTAAAACATATGTTGAGTCAACACATTTCATTTGAATTTGAATAACCTTAATGAATGGAATAGAGCCAACTCATTTGATTTACAATCATCCATTGCATTACCATAATTCTGGTTAAGCCAACACATTTGGTTTAAATTAGAAGAACCATAATGAATTATGTTTTGCCAACTCATTTAATTTATATAAGAATAACCACAATATATTACGTTGAGCCAAACATGTTTGATTTAGAATCACCCATTGAATCACCATTGTAACAAGTTGAGCCAACACATTTGCTTTACCTTGGAATAATCTTAATAAATTAGGTTGACCTAACACATTTGCTTTAAATAAGAGTAACACAAGTACATGGTGCTGAAATAAAGCAAAGTAATCAGGTGGAAATCCTTTCCATAATTTTTTTATGTTCATCCAATGACTTATTTTTTTCAGTGCAGGGTCGGATGATGCAGGATCTGTCCCCGATGAGCCTTGCATCACGACGTTGAACTGATTTGTTTCAAATACACTTCTGAGCGTGCGCTCTGAGTAGTTTACTCCAAATATACACTTTTTAGAGAGCAGCTTCAGCCTTTTCTGTGAAATACGTAACATCCAGTTTAGCTTGTGATGTCCCTCAGGAATCACTTCTTGGATTCTTCCCTTTATGTCATCGATGAGCAGCTCATACAAGTTTATCAAAGCATGATGCCAGGATTCCTGAATGCAATACTTGAATGCAAAGAAGATGTTGATGGGACTTAATTTTTAAAGTGTAACTTTTAAGACTTTTGCTCTTTTTCAGAAACATTGGATTGTCATAATCAACACTTTAACCTTTAACAAAACACTTTAACCTTTAACAAAGAGATACATGTTATCCATATCAAACTATTTAGCTACACTTTGTGGTTTTGAGTTCAAGTTGCAGCGTAAACCTCTAGTGAATGAGTCTGGGTTTAATTTCTCCAATCAGTTTCTTGTATTTTTTGCGTTAAAGTGGTTTCAGTTCTTGCATATGTGTGCAAGCTTTTGTTTCTCCCTGTATGTGAGCAACTTTGTCGGGCCCAGGGGTAAAATGTTTTCCCCTAATCACCCGCTGTGTATTTTTCTCCCCAAGATCTGAGCCTGTGCCCCCTGCTGGGGCCATGCCTTCATGTGTGTTGTGTCCTCCCAGCATGTGGATGCTGCAGAAATTCAGAGAGGCACACCAAGTGGGAGCTATGAAACGCCCCAAAGGGATCGAAAAGAGCTGCAAAAGGGCTGAAAAGCGTATATTTTAGATATCGTTGTAACTTTGTTTAGTATTAACTTGTTAGCAGCTTACGTTTGGAGAGTTGAGCTGCTGGAAAAGAAGAACAGGACAAAGTTGTTGGGGCCAGCGGTGGAAAAATGACTAAAAATGGCTCCGAAAAGAGGAATAAGGGCAGATAACACGCTTAGAGCTAAATGAAAATAATTCTGTGAGCTAATTGGATTAATAAGAAGCAAAATTAATGCTCTGTAATTTGGAATATGTATGTTTGTGTGAGCCTCTGCAAGACCAGCTGATGCAAAGAATAAGCAGCGATATTTTGAAGGAGCAGGGAAGGAAAGAAAGAGAAACCCTCAGGGGGAGAAGAGAAAAGACGTCCCTCTTCTATCCTGGTCTGAAAGTAATTGGTCCAGGATTAGAAGAGATTATAAATAAAAAACAAGAGAAAAATATACAAAGCTCACCACAGGTCTGGTTTCCATAGCAATGTTGTGCTGTGCAACAGTGCAAAAGCAACAGGGAAAGAAAATAAAACCAGTTGCTGCCATGATCAGCAGAAGGTCACAGCGACAAAACAACTGAAAATGAACCTGTGGCGTTCACAGGTTTTGGTACAACAAGCAGCCAGATGTTTGGGCAGCTTATTGTAGCAGTAGCTGCATTCATATCACAAATGTGCACAAATCTTTGTCTGTTCTGTTAGAGTAAGAAAAAACTAAATTTTGTCATTGCAGTGTTTCCATTAAATAGAAAATTAAATTCAAATCACGCACTAATAAACGGAAGAAAGAAAGACAACGATGGACGTACAGTTGCATGAGATTATATCCATAATCCAGCCTCTAGTGCTCATCGTCTGTCTTATCAGAGGAAGCGGTGTTTCAACATGTTTTATAAAGCCAGCTGCAAACCGTCATCCTCCTGCTACTTCCTGTCATCTTCCTCGTCATTTCCACTAGTAGTAACATCCAGGTGCTGATCGCCTGGATGTTAAAACGTGTTTACATTTCACAATGAGAACTAAATCAGAATGAACATCGGGACAGGTGCATCAGAAGATCATTTTTACAACAGGAGATGAAGATGGTACTGCTACTCTGCCACATTCACATGCATTTAAATCCCTTTTACTTCACTCTGATGCTCCATTTGGATTCAGCAGGCCGACTTTGACCAGACACCTAAATATTGACATCGCTATAGCGAGATTAATTCTCCAGACATACATAAAAACAATGAGAACTTTTAAAAATGCCTTGCAGCTTTCAGAATAGGAATCAGATTTAATTAGTTTGCCTTAATTACGAAAAACAGTCAGCAGTGGGGAAAACTTATTGTGCACAGCAGCAGACAGAAAAATGTCTACAAGATCTTATTCAAACCAAGAAAAGCAAAAAGTAAGACTGGTTAGGACAGACATAAAACACCCTGAAGTCATCACACAAGATGGAAAAGGAAAGAAAACTCTAAAGCCTCAATCACTGCAGAGACGTCTTCTTGTTTCAACATCTGCTGTTAATTAAAAACAGGTTTTCTTCTTACAAAAGCAGCTGATGCTCTGATCAGAGTTTCGCTTAAGGTTTCCCTTCCAGCCCAGTTTATACATTACAGCACTTGTACAAAAGCTCCAACTTTTCAGATGTTTTCTTTTTTTACTTTTCCCCTTTCAGTGTCATTCAGCTGTCTTATCTTCAACGCTTGAAGCTTTCCTTTCCATCTGTCTTCACTGATCAAACTGAGATATCTCTGTTTCCCCCCCTGTTTCACATCTTGACAGCAAGCATCAGATGTTTAAATTTTCTGAACTTTTTGATAAGTGGATGAGCATTTTTGGGGGTTTTTTCGATCTGAGTCAAAGGGAATCTTTGGTTTATAGGTTGAGATATAATTTTATGCTGTTCAGTTCATTAGGGGCCACTTTCTGGTTCGAGGATCTTTTCTTGTGCCCCAACTCGTGGAAGCTTAGTCTCTCTGGCCCGCTAATGATCTTTGTGAGCTTTAATGAGCGAATCCCCATTGAAATTAGACGCATGCATCCCTGTGGTCATGCTCAGCCCATCCTGATGATCATCACAACGTGTTTAAACACCAGAAAAACACAGAAGCAGATAAATATCCCTGTTGCTCTAAAATTAAAGCTTCTTCACACCTTAGAAGGTTTTTTGCTTTTAAACAATTTGATTCATAATGGATCAATAATGAAGGCATTTCAGTGAAGGTCTCTGCAGACCGAGGTAAAATATTGAAGAATCTGCTTTTAGGAAGATTTGTCTGGGGGAAGGAATTGTTTTTAACCCATTTATTAACTCTCAAGGATGTGCATATTTTTCCACAAGCACCGTTGAAACGACAATAAAATGCAGCTTACAGGGAAACAGCAGCCATGGTGTTTGGCAAAGCGTGGCATTTCAGTGATTTTAATGAAAAAGCGAAACGTTTTCTGTACTGGAATAAGGTACAGAACGAGGACCATGAATGTAGACAAAGGGAACGTAATAGAACAAAAGTCAAGGCGTCAAATGATGAAAGGATCTGGAAAAGAACCAAAAGAGATCTGGAGCTCCAATACTGAGACAGAGACGTTATAAAGAGAAACCAGATAAACCAACCAGGAGAAAAGTGAAGCAGCTGTGGCAAGAAGAAGACAGGAAACAAAGTATGAGAGTAATTAACCAGGAGCTGAACTAAACTAAAACGATCTGAACTAAACTAAAACGATTTGAACTAAACTAAAACGATCTGAACTAAACTAAAACAATCTGAACTAAACTAAAACAATCTGAACTAAACTAAAACGATTTGAACTAAACTAAAACAATCTGAACTAAACTAAAACGATTTGAACTAAACTAAAACGATTTGAACTAAACTAAAACAATCTGAACTAAACTAAAACGATTTGAACTAAACTAAAACGATTTGAACTAAACTAAAACGTTCTGAACTAAACTAAAATGGTTTGAACTAAACTAAAACAATTTGAACTA